ACTGGATCAGATTAAACTGAACGATTAACTGGTAACTGTATTCTGTTATATTTTCTTATATTTAATTATACAACAAAACTTTCTATACTGGCCTCCTTACTTAAAACGTGCAATCTAACAAATGATCGTTTTTCAAGATTTTCCAAATTATTTCAAGCTCCATGTGCTTTTGACTTTTTAACTAAAGCTAGAATGCCATGCGTGTTTTTTAGGGCTCTAGAAACAGGGAAATTTATTTGTCCTAACTCGTTTTCAAACGATTCTACTGGTTTAAGCTATGACATGTGTTTGTGCCTCAATTATTTATGTTCAAGATACATGTATCAAAAAATCGATTATTGACCCGAGAAATGCTTCAGACCCTCGAAAATTCATTTTTTGCCCGAAAGCGGAAGGACAACAAAATATCCAAACTCCACCAGTGGTGGGGATAACACCTGGACAATAATCGTGTAGGACAAGCCAGACGATAATCGAGAGGAGTCTGTACGTGCCTAATCTTTGCCTTGAAGTAATCAACGCTAACACGCGCGTCAAGAATCCTGGCGTCCGTGTAGACGTTCCGAGTTGAAAAAGGATTCTTTAGAGGGATTTACGAGCGTATCATAAAAGTATGTACTGCTCTCGAGGCACCACCGTGGCGTCGATTAATAGAGACGACGGGAGCCACCACGGAAATAAAAGCCCCAGCAAGCTCGATCGTCGAGGAATCGACTTGGTCCGCGCGGATTTCTGGCTGCTCAGCTCCGAAATCATCGTAGGAACGCGGAGGGATTCTTTTCGAACGTTTTACGACCTCGTCTATAAAGTAGTCAGAGTGGTATACCCGGCGGCGATGACAGAAATCGGACCTGTCCCGGTTTTGGAACGCTCCTTCGCCGAGAATAGAACGTCCCGGAGCGAGCTTTCGGCCACCTTGGTCCGCCGGGTGGTAAAGGTACCGATCACGACCCCCTCTTTTGCTTATTATCTCGCGAAAGCACGCGATCTTGCGTGATCCACCGTAAATTTACGCAGACGCATTCGACAATCCTGGCGCCACACCGCGATGATCCCACGAAATCGTCAAAGAAACGTAACCCATATGCTTGGCGATATTTTACGAGCTTCTGAAATGAACCGCCGTTATTTCTGATAGGAGGAAAGCCTTTGACTTTCATCCTGGAACTCAACAAGCACTTAAGGATTTAGAATATATTTAATTCCAAGATTTAAGTCTCAGTTCGACGATTTATTCATTTTATTCAATAGAAGTCAACCCTCATCTTTCCATTGTGTCAATTTTAAAGGGAAACAGTAAACAAAATTTCCATCAAGTATTTTTTCACAGAAATGAAAGGCTTAGATTGGGGCCCCCTGCAAAGTGGGGCCTGGGGCTCCCCTAGTCCCTCAGGGGTTTAATACGAATTTTTTACCACTGTGTCGATTTGACACCGCAGGATGAATTAAGCCGGGGCAAATGACGGACGGATGAGGAGTTAAGCACAATATCTCGTGGCCAACCACGCTCTCGCGAACTGGGGATCGACCCATTTACGAACGACACCCGGTGCATGCAGTTTCGGGATTTCGTAGTTGACTCAGCGTGAAACACTTCCTTCTGACGAGAACCACTCGACCCGCCGAAATATACACGGGCTGACTCACCCCGTGTATACGCACAGGTACCCTCTCCCCAAAGAGCTCGACGAACAAATATATCGAGCGCTCGCGCGTTTTGGGTACGTGGCCGACGACGGGGCCAGGGAAAATAGAGCGACCAGGGTGTGGGAGCGTAGAATTATTCATGCGATGAAAATACAAGTGACTGATCACGCTTGACAGAATCACTGCAAGAACAGTTACTTTTTTTATATTCGAAGACTATACAGTCCCTGATCAAAAAAATTAGGACCACATTATTGGTTGAATAATCCGTTGTTATTGATGATATTTGGTAATATCATCCCAAGGTAATGGATACGACAAAACACCTACTTTAGGATACATTATATATGTACGTACTTCAGTAGTCAATAAAAATTATTATTAAAATATGTTCTAGGACAATACCTTAGGATACATTATATATGTACGTACTTCAGTAGTCAATAAAAATTATTATTAAAATATGTTCTGGCCGTTTAATTCTACGTCCACCGCGAAAAATTTGGAAAATTATGAATGGCCTTAATTTTTTCTGGCCAGGGACTATGGAACACGCAGCTGGGTTCTGTGTGTATGTGTTTTCCTTCCTCGTGATTGACCCGGTTCGGTCGTCGCCAAGAAACGTAGAACCAGTTCAGCAGTTTAAGCGAGTTTAAGATCCGGTCGGCTCAGAAGCCGTACACCACACGCTCTAATGACATTAAGGGGAGCTCATCGGTATCCCGTTGTCACCACCCACCCATATCGCATTCGTTCGACTTCCCCGATGGAATCGTTGGGAAACGTGTACGTCTCCATTTAAATGCAACGCATGCGTTCTTTTTTTTTTTTGCACGGCTTCTCGATCGTAACATTTTTCGTTGCACGTATGTATTCGCTATCAATGGTGGGATAAGATAAACCGATTAAACGTTACTTTAGATTGATCTTCGATCGTGAACAGACATCTGGAATGATCAATCCACGTCTATCGCGACGAACGATCGGATCACGGTTTCTACCGATGCTTTACAAGTATATCGAACTACCAGATCGGTAGGATTTGCACCATAGATGTATCCCAAGAACAAGCAGCTGGAATCCTCGTTCTGCCGATTGGTCGCTATCTATGCAACATTGACACTGCTGTGTAAAACCTGTCGCCTCTATCTTATCGACCGGTTTAAGTCGACCTGACGCTTACGCGGTTCTTCTTATCACGTTCGACAACCGATGAGACATCGTTCGATATTGCAATATCGTCGGAAAAACGTTTTTTTTTTCTTTCAAGAATCCTCCAAAAGTATTAAATCAAGCTTAATCCAGATCGAGACAGATACACGCGATCGGTATGACGTGGCCCTGGGCGCAACCAGGGATGGGCGAATTCGCAATCTAGATAAAAAGTTACGAATAAAGAATATGAAAAAGTATTTCACCATTTTCACTCGATTACAATTTCAATTTTTATAATAAAATAATGTTTCGTCTTGAATGAGTAGGCACTAGGCAAAAAATTATTTAATCTCATTAACCGTTTAAAGGCTGACGATCTTGGATACTTCTCGGTTTTACATATTATTCGAATAAAATTGTGCCCAACTCTGGGCGCAACCATATGCTTCGAGAAGCTTACCAGAGAAGGATCACGCAGCGGCTCGACCAGCTGCCGTGAGTAATCCCGATGCTATTTCAGCGAGAGTATGTGTTTCGTGTATTACGCGTATAGGTAGCGGCGCAAAAGGCCCTGACGTCAAGCAACCTTACAGATTTATGATTGTTTCGTAGTTGGCGGTAAGTCAAACCTACGAGGTCCAGCGTAGCCCGTTTGGAAGCCAGAAATCACGTGAATAACAACGATTATGGGAACGTAGCGGACAAACGGAATTTCAAAATCAGAAGAGCAACTTGTACACATACGAGAATAGAAATACTGCAGTTCGTTGGTGCACTATAAATAGGCGACCACACACAAACAGGTCCACAGCTCACGATCAGGTTTTAAAACCGGCGTCCCGTCCACCCCCGAGCTCTCGATAATCCGCTGGCGAACGCGCAAGATGTTCATCGATCGGTTACCACTTTAATGGAGAATTTTATCCGATATAGAAACCGGAAGACATCATTCAAGACGCTCGTCCGAGCACACATTCCGTAGATCGCGGAGCCTGGATCACGAGGTCGTTCGATGCTAATCGTATTTATCTTGGGAAATCAGTCTTCTTGAACATGAAGCAAGAATAAAATTACAACTAGATCTAATAATTACATAATGTCTTGGCAGTTTGTTAGATTTAGTCATTGATCTCTACGTGTTCTAATTACGATATCTTGTACGAAATATACTCCTTTAGATTATCGTCTGATTTGTTCTACACGATTATTGTCCTGGCGTTATTCCCACCATTTCTTTAATAAAACAATAAAACTCTTTCTTCTCGACTAGGTAATTTGCATGAATCTCTGGTATATCGAGGAGAAAGATCATCGGCCGGGAATAGAGAAGCCGCGGAAGAATAGCGTGTCACCCGGTCACTTTCTCCGCTCGGAGCATCTATTTTCTGCGTGGGGCCCCCGTGGACTGGCCGACCGTATCGCCGATTACAATGGCAAAGAATCGTGAACGATTAAAAAGATAACACGGACGTGTACAATCAAGGTAATTGCACGCGTTCGTGTCGATGCATCGATAGGTGGGCAGAGATTTATCTCCCACTCGGAACGATTATTTGAGAAACGTTTTACGTACAACAATAACAGTTTTATCTGCAGCAAATATCGATACAATTTAAACGTACCGCCTTCACTAGATCAGAAAACCATTAAGATCATATTTTTCCACCATCATTTCGAGGATCAAAAAACGATGGAATGGGAAACAAGTGATCCGATTAGAACACAAGAACTTCGTTTAAGTCACTCACGATTCGGATTAGCATAATTTCTTCGTCGTCAAACATAAAAATCTTCTGCCCCCCAGTCGCTCGACAGTTACGCCTCGAGAATAATTACACACGTCGAGTCGGTGGCAAGCTTCAAGCCGTTTTGTCAGCCGTAATTTAAATGGTCTCTCTCTCTCTATCGCGCGTGCTCTCGCGTGGGCGTCGCATTAACGCTTCCGTGGCAAATTGCATGAAGCGAAAAAAGAAAGCGAGAGGAAACAGCTCGGATGAACATAATTTATTAGGCATCAACACCCGACTCTGTCTTCCTTTCTGTGAAACGTTCGCAGTGTACCTCTGGTTCCATCGTGTTCAACACCGTATTTCCCCTCGATCGTTCGATCATTCTCGTCAAATGGCATAAAAAAAAACGCCGCTGGAGTAATTGGATACACACAGATTGAGAATAAATCGACTGGCTATCGTATCTACCTTTCGTTGTTGCTCCACCTTCTGCATTTTCAAGTCGCATTGCTATCGGAATTACGTGTCTGACCTTTCGTAGAAATTCACTGTTTTCAAAGGAGAAACGGCTCGACGAAATCACGCCCTCTCACGTTTTCTCGTTAAAAATAGATTAAAAAAATTAAGTTATCAATTTTTAGAATCCTCTACAATGACTTCATCTTTCACAGTTATTTTTAACATTTTTATGGAATTTACCTTTCTATTTTCGACTGAGTTCGGTGATAGGAAAAGTTTTGAGGAGAACAGTAACGCATGGGCCAAATCTTTCACAGTTAATAATAAGTGGATGTGAGTTTTTCTTTTTTGGAAAATAAAATAAATTTCTTTTTGACCATTTCAGCTAGTAAATATTCATTCTGAGATTGACGGTTAAACTAGCGAGACGAATTCCGTCTAAACGCAATTACACCTGGATCACGGACACGGGCTGCGGTTCGTAGCGCGTGTTTCCACTCGGTCACGTTCGTCACAGACGATTTGCCACCTCACAGGTACCGCGTAGGGTAAAAGACCCATTTACTGCCACCTACCGAATTACTGTCATCCTAGACTGTTTTACTTAAAATAACAAATATAAAGATCATAGAAAATAATGTCGATCATAATTCAACGATTTACAAGCGTTTTGATAATTTTTAATTACAGTCCTGCGGACCTGAGTTTGTCAGTAATAGCCTTCGAGATGTATTTTTGAAACTAATGAATTTATAAACAATAGGATAGATTCAAGAAGTTGCAACAAACTTTCCCTTCAATTAAACATATTAAATAATAATAAATAGAAATAAAAACGTATGTTTTTGGTTAGTTAATACAAAAATTATGCAAAAATGTCAATGTCATTTCTTAAAGTGTCAGTAATTAGTAAAAGTCTTTTAAATAGTTAAAGTCTTTTAATTCTATTTTCCCGAATCGTTCCGCTCGTTATCGATCGTTTAAATCGCTCGAACCCACGTCCAGGTTCCATCTTCGTTTACCATAATGCGACGCGTATGTGACAGCCAGTTTCATTTTTATTTTATACCTCGATAGCCCCACCGAGAGTTTCCCGTCCATGGTCCCAGATTCGCGTCCACGGATGCGACAATACCACGCTTCACCGCCGCGATAACGTTCCCTATCTCCCCCTAGACTCCTCGAGGAAATTTCGTAATATCCGCGAATTACGCGGCCGTATCCATCCATGTGGACTTTGTGCCGGATTGTCGAGATTGCAGAGGCATTGTTTACACAATGTTTCCCGTTTAATATACGTGTCAATTTCGTAGGAGCTGAGTTTCTCAGAGAACGACGAGCTTTCGTGCTTAAGAGGGCATTTCCGTGTAAAAGGTTACAAAAATGAGGTTTTTTTTGTAATCCCAGCGTAAACTATTCAGCTTTCAGAAAATTCCCTAACTGTTGTATTCTGATGACTGTAGGAGATGCTACACATGGGTCACAAGACTTGTATACTATCCAATAAACAATAAGAAGAATTGAAACAAAAAAATTCTTTTGTTTTTTCTCAAAAACGAAATCCGCAAAAATCACTTGCTTTTAGAGCTGTTACAAAAATCCCCCAATAATCGATTCGTCATTAGAAACCTTTAAAGAAAGGCAGTACTTATATTTTCAAATATGAAATATACAATCTTTCCAGATCGCTAAATTTATCCATTAATCCAACCATTCTCTTAGAGTGCATTTATCGTCACTGGAATATCTCTTTCGAGAACCAAAAAAAAAAAAAGAATTCGAACAATCACTCGCGGAAACTGTATCCCAGCAGCCTCTTACTTCTGGGCTCGATCCTTTCTCGTGCTCTCTAGAGACTGCTTTCACAGACGATCGTCCCGTGGCACCGATGCCAATAGTCACCGGGCATTGTTGCTGAACCTTTTTATCACCCGCGTGCATGCGGGTTCCCCGTGGCTCTATTTTCGAGCGAATGATTCACAGGCTCTCGTTCGTCACGCTCGATTACGCTGCGTTTTCATTTTCGCGACGTTAAGCTCGTTTTAGGCCGTTCTCGCGGAAGTGATTCCAATATTTTCATCAAACGAACGACTCGTCGTAGATACATCCTAATTCGGATTCGAGCAGAAGAAGGCTCACTTTCGTCTTTCGTGGAATACTCTATTATTTATTCATTTCAAAGGATAATTCCCATTAGAGTGCAAGAAGAAAAAATGTAAACATGTTTATATAAATCGGACGAATAATAAAATTAATGAAACATACAACTGTAACATACACGGGAGAAATCAAAATAGTAAATCCAAGATTTTATGAATTTGGGTTTCGAATGGTTCGATAGAAAGAATTTGCTGTTCCACAAAGGCGATAAACGAGATTATTTTATAGTTTTAATTATATATCCATTTCCAAACAAGTCTGTTCGACAAATGTTTGGCAATTTTCCGTGTCGAGTGTTCCATGGGAAAGATCCTCGCCCGTCGTCTAGAGTATCATTTCTACAAAGATCCTTCCACCCATATCCGTGTCCGTTTACAATTAACATCGAACGACTAATCCAGGATAATGGGCCTGGTCCGATGAAAGTCTCGTTCGCAGAGGTTCCGCGAGCGCATTATACTTTCATGATCCTGGTGGGAACCGAGAGGCCCCGGTTGTGGTGTGCTGCACGCTCGTTGCAGGATCCCTTTCGCCTTCCCCCGCAATATGCATAAGTGCATCTATCTATAATTGGCCGGCCATGAATTAACGTTGGCTGTTCCCCTTATCGAGATTTTAGAACGTGACTCACGAAATCACGAAACGACTTCGGAAGATACAAAAGCACCACTGTTTTTCGGGCTCTTCACGCGATTTGGTCGTAGGGATATGATCAAGTTTAATATGCAAACCTAATGTTTTTTTACATGATTTTGAAATAACACAGTCGAAGGAAAGAACCACCTTCCAGTTAGATTCAAACCTATTTGTAATATATTTTATCCCACCTTTACTTGGACGTCGACTAAAAGGTCCCTCTGACGTTTCACTTTCTATCAAAAGATCCCCGTTGAAATGCCACAGAAATTACGAAGCTCGAAAAAACAACCATCTCCATTCTTCGCTTCAAGGGAACGATAATCATCCATTCGATTCCCCCAACCTGATTCCGCCTTCATCGAAACGTGAAAACTCCTTTTAACGAGCACGTCGGTAGGAACATTCCACGATCGATAGAATACCACGATTCCATCGTGGACCCGTTTTAATTGTTTCGCGAAACGGTAAAACGAAGCGGGCCGTCAGAAACGTTTATCAAACGTTCGCGCGAGCAGAACGATCTCGAGATAATCGGCTGCGCGCGCGAAAGCGAGTCGTCGAACCGCTCGCGCGTTCCAGCCGCGAGCGTTCAATAATTCATATTCAATCCTTCGATAGCAGCTGGCCCAGCGGGGTGGACGGACGGGGGAGATCCAATAATTCAACCTCTATCTCGTCTCCGGTGCACTTTCATCTGTCTCGTCCACCCCTCCGCGAAATTTCCGACCGTCTGGGATAACCCACGGCGGAATCCTCTGACGTTTCCAACCGAGAGTCACGAGTTAGACAAGGAGCACAAAGTGGCTTCACGCGATGAACGAGGAAGGAAGAGGCGCAGACGACGAGGACGAGCAGGATATCGCAAATGCATTAGGTCGGGACTCCACACAACCGGCCAACACACATTAGTGATGGGAATACATTTGAATTGTATCGATATTTGGTATCGATACGTATTAAGACTAGGAATGAACCGATCTAAGCAAATACCGAGTATTTTTAGTATCGATATTGTCGTTTCGACAAATGCAATTCGGCGATTGCATCGAAATTTCGATATTTACGGGTTAAGTACCGATACTGGAATATATTGTCGCGTTAAGTATCGATATTCTAATTAAGAAGTGTATTCAAAATATCGATACTGCATCGCCCATCACTAACACACACCCTTTGCGAGCACCAGAGAAAGAGGAGCTATACGTTTTCAGCACGCGCAGTATCCTGTAAAGGCAAGCCTGAATTCAGGCTGCACAGCCGAGGGGAAATGTTTGCGCGACTTCCGTGTGAAAACCCTGGAAACCCCGTCGGCCGCATCGCGAATTGCACCCCTACGGCAACCCTTTGGACTTTCAACCCTTTTCCTCCAAGGATATAAAAGGGGATTTCAGGCGGCTTCGCTGATTAAAACTTCCGTCTGGTTTATTAAATTTCCGCGATAATACACGCGCCCTCAGACAGTGCCGGATTGAGACTATCGACGATCTCGGTACGTCTGATCATGATCAGATTCTACTGTCGCTGCTTGAAATTGAAGCAATTACCGTAATAATTTCTACTTTTGTAACAACGAACACCTGGACTAGAACATACTGACTCTGTTAAACTTATTTCCAAGTGCAAATAAAGAATACTGTAACTTGAGGTAATTTTCCAGTCGTCGCCAGAATTCATCACGGCTTCGACTCTTTCTCTGTTTTGCAAGGCACAAAGGGGGCCCGAGGAACACGAGTCGCGCTAATGGTTAACACGCTCCCGGAGCAGAAAAGAGTCGGGATTCTTTCACGATACTCTGGTGTGTCGCGTGTGCCCGACGACGACGCTTGTTAAGTGGCAACAGAAGCCGCGCAAAAGCAACTGGGACAATGGTGTTGGAGGTGACTCCCTGGGCTCGAGTGGTCGATGCTCGCGAGATTACTCGACGAAGCAGGAAAAGTACTCGTCGATGGTTCTGACATGGAGAAACGCATGTACACATTAAGTGCCGGAAAAAGTTCGTGCGGTTTTTCTGTTGGCAATTGACTCAGATTGAATTCCGAGCAGTAATTTGAAAATGTAGTTAATAAATTTGGTATCAGAGGAAACCTTGATCTATGTACAGTTGCTACACTTACTCAGTTGTTTTCATTTGTTTTAATATTCCATTGTGTATACTCGACTTGAAATACTCGACGAGTGTTCGAAGGCTCCTCGACACTGACAGGGAGTACGCTCCAGGTATGACGTTGACTTTTTAATGAGATTATTGTT